AACCTTAAGAGGAATTAAGATTGGCTTGGGACATGCATAACAGAAAGTACAAGAGTCCTTGATTTTTAGATTAGAGCAAATAAAATCAGTATCTGTCAAATCAGGAAAAGAGAATCTTCCACTTTAACCTCACCTCACATTATTCCTAGCTATGTTCAGAAGCCAAAATCCTTTTTTTTCTTTATCTTTATTGATTAAGGTATTACATATGTGTCCTTAACTCCCCATTGCCTCCCACTCCCCACTCATGCCCTCACCCCCCTGTTGTCTGTGTCCAATGGTTAGGCTTATATGCATGCATACAAGTCCTTTGGTTGGTCTCTTCCCCTTACCCCAACCTCCCCTACCTTCCCTCTGAGGTTTGACAGTCTGATCGATGCTTCTGTCTCTGGATCTCTTTTTGTTCATCAGTTTATGTTGTTCATTATATTCCACAAATGAGTGAGATCATGTGATATTTATCTTTCTCTGACTGGCTTATTTCACTTACCATAATGCTCTCCAATTCCATCCATACTGTTGGAAATGGTAAGAATTCCTTCTTTTTTACGGCAGCATAGTATTCCATTGTGTAGATGTACCACCGTTTTTTAATCCACTCATCTGCTGATGGGCACTTAGGCTGTTTCCAAATCTTAGCTATGGTAAATTGTGCTGCTATGAAATAGGGGTGTATATATCCCTTCTGATTGGTGTTTCTAGTCTCTTGAGATATATTCCTAGAAGTGGGATCACTGGGTCAAAAGGGAGTTCCATTTTTAATTTTTTGAGGAAACTCCATACTGTTTTCCACAGTGGCTGCACCAGTCTGCATTCCCTCCAGCAGTGCACAAAGGTTCCTTTTTCTCCACATCCCCACCAGCACTTGTCATTTGTTGATTTGTTGATGATAGCCATTCTGACAGGTGTGAGATGGTACCACATTGTTGTTTTGATTTGCATCTCTCGGATGATTAGTGACTTTGAGCAAGTTTTCATATGTCTTTCGGCCTTCCTTATGTCCTCTTTTGAAAGTATCTATTTAGGTCCGTTGCCCATTCTTGATAGTTATCTTCCTTTTGCTAGTTCGCATGAGTTCCCTGTAAATGATGGAGATTAACCCTTATCGGTGATAACATTGGA